AGTGCCCAATTGTTTTCCATTTCTTTCAACGTCAAATCACTGATGACGATAATGAAGATCAAGCAAACCGGACCTGAACCTGACAGCAGAAGTGCCTGCCTACCACCAGCCAAGTTCTCCGTTAGTCTTGCTTTTTCTTCTTTGTTTCCAGTGTTAGCCTAAACTTTATCGTACCGTACTCCCAGTCAGTCAAATCACACCCTTCCTACGCTTCAACTGATCGGTTAAATTTTCAGTGAACGTTTTTTTTTTTTTCATTTTTTTTTATTCATATATTCTTTTTTCTTTCTCCGAACGAACAATGCAGGAAGTGGAAAGAATAAAGCATTGCCGGATAAGTTCCATATAAAAGTTAGAAACTTCTGCTCTGGCGTTTCTGGTTGTTCAAGTTTCCGCTTTTTGAGCAAAAAAACTACATATGCCATATAATCGGCGTAGGCAAAAAACTGATTATTAAACGGACATAAAAAAAGTCAAGGAATTGAACCTTTAAAAAAATGAAAAAAAAAAAAAAAAAGAAAGAAAGAAAGAAAAGAAACTAAGAAACTAAGTTTTTTTTTGCTGTCTTAACCGAAGATGTTTTCTCAAATAACTTTTTATAGCAAAAAGATCAACAATCATTGACAGCAAAATGATAGACCGAAAAGAAGAAGAAGAAAAAAGATGATTGTTGCGTCAAATAAAAGAATAAAACAGAACACCCGAAGATTTCAGTTATTTTTGCATCGACAAATTAGAAGCAAAAAAAATTTAAGGATCTCATCACCGATGAACCAATGCACCTAAAAAAATTTTTTTCCTCTTTCACATTTTTTCCAATTGAAAAGAAAAAAATAATGAGAGAGGAAAAAAAGAGGAGAATCAGACTGAATTGGGAACATTGGATAAAACGGCTTAGTTTCAATTCACTACCGTTCTGCAAAATTCAAACAAAAAAAGTTTTTTTTTTTTTTTGCAAAGTTCACTAACAATAAACAAATGTTAGTAAATCAGCTTTAATGCTGACACTGTTAGCCTGCAGTTTAAAAAAAAAAACTAGTATCAAATCTGTGGGGATAAAAAAAAAGAAACCGATGAAACACTGTCAGCAGCGGATGAAAGGAAAATGAAAAAAAAAGATACTGAAGTTAACAAAAAACTAATGTTCAGATCACTGTGAAAAGATTTCGCTATGCAGCAAAGATGCTGTTTCAAATAGACTTCCAACAACGAAACTGGACGAGGATTTTTTTGCTTGCTTATTGCTGTTGCTGCTGCTCTTATGCACATCCATTTCAGCCACGCAAATGAGTATGCCGTTGTTGTTTTTGCTATTGCTGCCGTTGCCGCTGCTGCTGCTGCTGTTGCTGCTGCTACTACTACTGCTGTTGTTTTCATTGTTGTTGTTGCTGCTGTTGTAGTTGTAGTTGCTGTTGCTGTTGTTGTTGTTGTTGTTGTTGTTGTTGCTGTTGTTGTTGTTGTTGTTGTTGTTGTTGCTTTTCTTGCTGCTACTGCCGGCGATGAAGTATCCATCGTGCTATTGTTTTCCATTCCAGACAACAACACATTGGAGGCACTCTAAACTACATTCAGCAAAAACCGCTGCCCCGACAACCAAAACCAAAACCAAAACCAAACCACAGCCGAAGCCTAAGACGCTGCTGGCTCAGCTGGCCGGCTCCTACCGACAACTATGGCCAATTGGAAGCCAAAAAATCTGACTCAACAACGCCATCAAATGCCCTGTTTTTTTTTTTTTTTTTTTTTTTTTTTTTTTTTTT